TAGATGTCTACACTTTCTGCTTATAGACCTCACGCACACTGTTTGGGGTCCCTTGCCGGGATAGTTTTGGGACTACCCTGAAGCCCACGCGCCAACAATCACACACTCTCAAGGCAAAGACAATGGTGACTTTGATAATATTGACCACTCCCACGCCGAATGAAGCATGCATTCCGAAATTCTGTCAAAGTGAACCCTGGTGCCCTGAGTGTCCGCACACGTGAATACTGTGGAACTGCTTCTTAAACCCCAAGGTGTTTCAATCAATTTTTCTTCAAACAGTGTGGACACACTTAGGGGTTCTTACGGTAGTGGTTCAGCAGCTGTGCTTAGATCGCTGGGGCGCGCGGGCGTGGCCGGCTAACTCGCTGCTATTTACAGTACATTCATGCCTCTCGAAATCGCCAATGTGCATTTCGACTGCGCAAGCTCGCTGAATCTGGGTGTCCGCGGCGGGTGCTTTCTAACGACTGCGCTCTCGTTGTGGCGCCATGTGCATTTTCGCACATGGTGGTCACTTTTCGTGGCAGGTGCAAGGGAACCTCGTGCTTCGGTGGTCCAAAGTCGACTTTTCGTGACAGGAACAGCGCTTTGTGAGCCTCGAAGTGCAGATTTCGTGGCAGGCGCAGCGCTTTGTGAACCTCACAGTGCAGATGTCGTGGCAGGTACAGCGCTTTGTGACCCTCAAAGTGCAGATTTCGTGGCAGGCGTGGGGCAAGAAGGTGCCATTCCAAAGCATGCCGTTTGTGAGCCACGCCGGGGGTTAAGCCAAGCGCAAGCAACGAGCCCGCTATAGGTTTCAAAACAATAAAGCGTCTCAGGAATCCAGGAAGCGACAAAGCGACGAAGCCACCAACGAAGCCACTAGACTTGGTTTGCGTTGCGGGGGAGGCGCTGCGCCCCTTTTTTTTGAAGGAGACCAAAACAAGAAAGCAACCCAGGAAGGCATACTACTGTACCTTGGAATGGCACCTACCCGCGAAGTGATATGACATCACATGCGTGCTACATATCAACAAACTTAAATCGAAAACCGGAATCTTTTTCACAGAGTGAAAGCATTGTATTCCAAGGTAGCAAACCTTTTCTGAGCCACGCGGGGGTTAAATTCCCAAGTAGCGTAGCTTTTGTGAGCCCCGCGGGAGTAAAATTTAGAGGAGGAAGATGCCATTCAAGGTGGCATACCTTGTGTGAGCAACGCAAGGGCACAATTTAGAGGAGGAAGGCGCCGTTCCAAAGCATACCATTTGTCAGTGATGCGGGGATTAAATTTAGAGCAGGAAGGTGCCATTCCAAGGTAGCATACCTTTTGTGACTGATGCGGGGGTGAAACCTAGAGGAGGAAGGTGCCATACCAAACCATATCTTTTTTGTGGGCCACCCATACCTTTTGTGCGGGATGCGGGGAAGGCCCATACCAAACCATACCTTTTGTGGGCCACGCGAGGGTAAAATCTAGAGCAGGAACGTGCCATTCCAAGGTAGCATACCTTTTGTGAGTCGCACGGGGGTTAAATCTAGAGCAGGAAGGTGTCATTTCAAGGTAGCATACCTTTCATGAGCCACGCGGGGGCAAAATTTTAGAGCAGGAAGATGCCATTCCAAAGCATACCTTTTGTCAGCCATGCGGGGAATAAATTTAGGCAGGAAGGTGCCATACCAAACCATACCTTTTGTGGGCCGCAGAAAGGCAAAATTTAGAGCAGGAAGGTGCCATTCCAAAACATACCTTTTGTCAGCCATGTGGGATTTAAATTTAGCGCAAGAAGGTGTCATACAAAATCTTTTGTGGGCCACGTGAGGGCGCAATCTATAGCAGGAAAGTACCATTGTGAGCCACGCGGTGGCAAAATTTAGAGCAGGAAGGTGCCATTCCAAAGCGTGCCGTTTGTGCGTCATGCTGAGCCAAGCAACGAAGCAACCAACGAACCCTGGCAACCAACGGGCCCACCAACGAAGCAGACTTGGTTTACATTGCGGGGGAGGCGCTGCGCCCCCTTTATTTTGAAGGAGACCAAAACAACAAAGCAACCCAGGAAGGCATACTACCTTGGAATGGCACCTTCCTCCTCTAAATTCGACCCGCGAACTGATATGACATCGCGTGCGCGCTACATATCAACAAACTTCTATCGAACGCCGGAATCTATTCCACAGGGCGAAAGGATCGTTGTGCTCCAAAATGAGCTGAATCATGTGTTCCAGAATGAGCTTAAACGAAAAAGTTCTATGTGTCCCAACATGAGCCGAATCGTGTGTACCGAAATGAGCCTCCTCCCCGTCCGTGGCGTGTCCTTTAACGCTATCTGGGGACTATGCTGGTGTAATTTTCGTTTTGGAAAGGTTGTTGTAGCGTAAACAGACAATTTGTTTGAATAAAACATGGTCGTTTTTGATTTCGGACTGCAGTGGGCATTTTTTGAGAAGTACCACCACTCCACAGTACTAGTGACTAGTGATTGATGCCTTTGTGCCTTTGCGCAAAAATGTTTGCAAGTGAGGCAAAAACCTTAACATAGTAGAAGGCGTGACCGAAAAATGGCAACAAACGATTTCTTCTGGAAGGATATAACGCTTGCGTAATTTGCAAGAACACTAAGGTGGATATTTTTTCCTTGGGGGTTGCGCGGGCATATTCGTATTTTTTTGCATTCATTTCAACCTTGAGCCTTGCAAAGTCTGCGCAGGAGGCGCCAGCGGGGACTCGACTCTCTGCACAAGTGTTGGTGAATGGTATCTATTGGCAGCGTGTCATTGAGGACATGCCGTGCAAGCATGCCCATTTTGAGGCTTTGCTCATGCAATGCAGTTGGCCTAAGCGGTCTAAAATCAAGCAATTTTTTCTTGCATGTTTTGTGTTTTGGACCCTGGCGAAGCAGGATCTTGTAGCTGCAAGGCTGGTGCATCAAAGGACACCTACCGCTGTGTGCCAGAGCGATCTTGCGGTGAGTGTCAACATGTATCCACGCTTGTGGTGTTGTACTCATCAGCGCATGATTCGCGCGAACATTTTGGCGCACCTTTGGTTCCACTTTCAATCCAATTCTGGAGTCTTTTTGGGTCTAGCTTCCAAGGGGCTTGCGAAACAAAAAGGCAAGGCTTTCACAGGCTGGCGGCGCACCCAATGGGCCAACGGTGTCACATGACTGAAAATGATCCTAGCTCTGCAGTTGAGTGGCCTTTGTGTTGGTGGACTGAAAGATGTAGAGTTGCGTGTCATGTGAGGCCAGCAGAGCTCTCACTTCATAGCGCCAATCTTTAGCCTTTTACAAAGGGTACAGGCTTTTTCATTCACACTGCAACAAAGTGTGCCAGATCCTCAACAACTCTTTTGCGCCGATGAGCATGGGGGGTGAGTACGCTGGAGCCTTCCCACTGTGATTGCAGAGTTGCCCTCACATAACACTGGCCATTCGACCAAACCCGAGCACCTTAAACGCGGATGCAGCGGCGCTCCTCAGTCCGAGAAACTTAGGTAGCGTTTGTCATTCTGGACTCTAGACAGTGGATAGTTCCTACGCCGCGGATTTTACTTTGCACGTGTGTGGTGTGGTTTTCTTTTTTTGACCACTTTCCTGTTTTGTCGCGCTGCTACGGGGAGAGTGGTGAGATAGACTAGGTCATTGAAATCACATGCGCACGCAGTGTGCGTGACGCGCAACCCTTGCTTTCCACTAACGCGCAAACCACGGCTTTGGGGCAACTTTCATGGTGCTGTTGAAACGTCGACAATGTGTGAATAGCAATGTGTGGTTTAAGTATATCATAGTCCATGGTTGTCTTTGATGATTGGCACTCCGCAAGGTTCTTTCTGGATTCCTTTGCATTCGCTAATCGACTGACATTTTGGGGGACGCAGGAATGTCATTGCAGTTCGAAAGCTCTTTCCGGAGTATGTGGACAAGGAACTGAAGCGGTGGACAATGTGTTGGGGTTCAAACATGCTACCTTTGTTCTGTTTGAGAGCGCGTGATCATTGCAGCGTATGAGTGGGATTGTAGGGCGTTGCTCACCAGCTGGAGTTTGAGAACATGATGCTTTGGAATGTTTTGCTTGTAGTCAGGAGGGGAATGAGGTCATCCGCTTGGCAAGTGGGCAAATCCTGCATTTGGATGTTCGAGATGACATCAGAGAGAATGATGAGGAGAGTTCTCTGGATATGCATATGTGTGTGTGTAACCTTTGGAGTCACAAGGTTCCTTTTGGATTGTTTCCTTTTTTTGCAGGGGGACTGCCTGACTTGTAACAGTGGCAGTCCAACGAAGAGGCTGTTACGAGTCAGTGTTCGTCGTATCGTTGAGTTGGAACTATGGCCTTTAACTAAAGGCGCTCAGGCCTCCTTACCTACCATGGTTGCTCAAGCGGTCCTTCATCGGGAAATCCTTCATGTACATGGATTGTTGGATCTTATCTTACCGCTGGAATCCTTCATTCCCGTTTGGCTATTACATCAACTCCTTTCCTGGATCAGGCCACCTCCCCCATCTTCAGGTGCAACTTCGTGGTCTGGACGGAGCTATTCTTCAAGCGACACATGTCGTCCATACACCACCCATGAATTGATGACCACTTTCGGCCTGAAAAGGAATGCCTCCCCTCGGGGAGGCGTGTGTGTGGTGTGTGTGTGTGTGTGCGTGTGTGTAACCTTTCGAGTCACAAGGTTCCTTGGGGTCTGCCTGACTTGTAACAGTGGCAGTCCAACGAAGAGGCTGTTATGAGTCACTGATATGGATTCTGGACGCAGAATCCACGTATTTGCTTGGTTATGGCGTTTGCGAGCTGTTACCCTCATTTGCCTTAACCGTCAACTCGACCTGTTCGTCGTATCGTGGAGTTGGAACTTTGGCCTTCAACTAAAGGCGCTCAGGCCTCCTAAGCTTACCTGGTTGTTCAGGAATCTGGTTTCTTAGGTTGCCGTGTGGCGAGCGGCGTTGGAGTCAGTACGCAAAACTTAAGTGTGCGCGCGTATCTCTTGAATTCAAAGGTTCAGCAATTGCTGTTATTCAGTTTAGTCTTCATGTAGTCTAGCAGGGAGCCCCTGGCAGGCCCCCATCACCAGAAGGAAGGCTTCCAGTGGTGGGTGTAGGGTACAAACAACTGTTGATCAGGATGTGATTTTGGTTCCAAGGTTGTTCTCAAGCGCGTTTCTTGTACCCGAGCCCCGAGTGAGTCCAAAAGTCCTCGGGGAGTGAAGGAGCTTTACGCACACGCCCAATTTTGTTTTCGTTTCACCCCAACAAGGACAAGCAAGGAACCGGCAGCCATCCTTCAGCAGATTTTGCAATCAAATCAATCCGTATAGCGCCTTGAATCAGAGCACTGATCTCAGCATCTTCAGGTGCCACTTGCCCTTTCTGTTCTATCGTTCCCAGGCTTGGCTGGCTGGAGGTGGTAGGAGGCATGTTTTCCCAGGTTTCTCGTGCGGAGTGCTTAGGTTCAGGCTGCTGCCGAACGATTCAAGTCTGCAGTCATGCACTTGGAACTTGAGCCTTTGGACATTAGTTATGGCTTCCACTTTTGGAACCTCCGAACCTTGTTTGTTTGGGTCCTTCTGCGTTACTTGCGGCTTGCTTGGGCCAACTGAAACGCCTAGGCCCCGTCGGGTGACCTCCGATCCAAATTGCCCGGCGCGTTGAATATTCGTTTCAGCCCAATCCAAGCTTGCAGATTGCAGGAGTTTTTCGAGCCTGCGTATGTAGAAGCAAAAGAATGCAAGTGAATTACAAAAGTTCCGGCTTCGCAGAACTAACGTCAGACCATCTACAAAAATCTACGAAAGGCATATCTTGTTGCAAATCTTCCGTAATGCCGGAAGTTCTTCAAGGTTGTTCAAATCTTTAAAGTTAAGTCAAATTACAAAGGCTTTATGCTACTTCCAAAACGATTCAATCTAATCTCTTGCGCTGAAAATACTTGGGTCTAATCTCTTGTAATTCTTCAAATGCAAATGCCGGAATATCGGCTATGCTTGGACGTCTTTTACCATCTGCGGTGGCCTCTATATCCGGAGTCCCCGCCGGACTGTCCGGATTGCCACCAGGACGAGGACGAGCCTGAGGATTGCCACCAATCCTGACTCTCTTGTCTTCTCCATTGCGTGCACTCCTTGTCCTTTGGCGACGATGCTCAGCAGAGGCTTCTCCGCGTACACGGATTCGGATGTTGGACCTGGCTGCCAACGAAAAATTGCATTGGAATGGATGGTGGAAAGCCTCATCGCTGCTTATGAGGCAGAAACCCAAATGATCTAAAATGCTTGAGAAATTCGTTGGGCTTAATGAGCGTCTCCTTTTCTGCAGAATAATGTCGGATGACCTTTTCTGCAGTGTGTGCATGTCCTTACCGTAATTCAGTGGCGATCTGCAGCAGGCAGTCGACGTCGGCATCGCATCCTTCTAGTGCGGCGAGTTGCTCGGTAGCAAGCGTCGAAACTTCCCAGTTATAAGTCATGCGTTTACTGGGCTCGCGCAACTTTTCTGCAGAAACAAGAATCTGGTCACTGGTCCAAGATAGTTAGGACTGCGCCGGTAGCCGGATCGGAATGTCGATCCTGCCTGAAATTACGGTTGGTGAGCAAATTTGCATCACACACAATGACGTCCAACTGGCCCGCCACGGCCGTTACCATAATTTTTGTAAGGGCTTCCTTTCCCGCCGTTATGCAATCATTGAATGCATGGGAGTTCAGGTGAAACGCGCAGATTCTTAACTCAGGAAGGTGCGTTCGCTTACAATCACACAGGCGTCCAGTCCGGAATGTCGGACCCTTTTGGAACAGAACCTCAGCATCAATGGGTTCAACCTGGAGAAAGGTATAGTGGACCCCTAGCACTTAGAATATGACCAAAAGGATTTTTTGATTTGGTCCGTATGTCCCAAGGTCACTTGTCCATTTGTCCGCGGACGTGCAGATAGAATTTCCACACATCCACATAGAATATGCGCACCACACTTAGAATATATGCAGCGTGTGTTAATCCAATCACACTTGCCTCAAGAGAGATGTGCAACATATCCAGATAGCGTATTCCACACGCAGATAGAATATCCACACATCCACATAGAATGTGCGCACCCCACTTAGAATATATGCGGCGTGTGCCAGTCAATCACACTTGCCTCAA